CGGATACCATCGCTGGTAATCAGCAGCATTCTCCAAAACAGTACGAGGCGGGAGTGAGAGCCTGGGCTTGCAGCGATTGAAAGCCTTGCACCGAATTGTTCCCTTTTATTCTAGACACTGACCGGATATTGTAGTGCCTTCGCATAACGACTCCTACCCAGACTATGCTGCGAACTGAACGCATCCACGAGTTCTGTTTCCGAAGTTAAGACTGTTTTATGCTTCCAAAAGAAATACCGAAACATTTCCTGCTAATGTACGCCCATAATAAATCCCGTTCAGATCTTCACTTCATTACTGCATTCAGATAAACTAAGAGAAACCGTACAGAAGCCAAAGCCTCCCCTGCCCCAAACGATCGGCATTAAGAGACTCCACCATCGCCCTTAATCGTAGCCCAAGGAAACGAGGGAAAAGGAACATGTATAAATTATATATGTTCGATAAATAGCCCAAGGAAACGAGTTGCTCCCCACACCTGTGCACTGGTTTTCCATTCTCTTCTACAGAATTAAACCTAATCTTACGGAGATCACGGTTTGCTGTTCCTGCCTGCTGTCACATCCATGTGAATTAAGAAAGTGACAGCTGTACAGCTGCCTTGTTACTCACAAGTGAAGGTAGTTCGCGCATAATTAAGAGGTGATGACCCACTCCCTTTAAGTACATCAGCTATCGGACGTGATCAAAGGAGACTAGAAACACGATCCCCAACAAATACACAAAGAACTGAAACGTTAAAGCCCTTACTGAGTAATATAAATAGATGAAGAAAGGAAACAGAAATTCGCAGGAGACGCTTACTTTTTTCTACAGATCAGCGGCAGATAACCCCCCCTTTTTTTTTTCAAGACCGACGTGACGTTTTCAACTTTCTTTACCGGATTTCGGTACCCCGTAAGCAACATTCTTGTCAATTTGGAACCAACAATCTGAGATTAATTTTTTTTTAGTCCACGTCCTTCGTGTAAAACACTTCTAGTACAAAACTCCACGAAATGTACGTTCTCAAAGGAAATACACCACGCTACAGTTACCGCTTTACCACAAAACTATAGTAAACATCCAAACGCGTGTCTTCGGTGAATTGAACGTGTAACGCGAAAAAGAACGACATAAAAGTACTGCTTGGTCTTGCCACCCCGACAACCTAGCAGACTTCGTTTTTACGCTATGACGAAAATTAAATGAGATATAAACCATCTTCACTTATCCCTGTAGGAGTCGTACCCAAGTGTTTAATGTCGAAAAAGGAACACTAAACATGACCCTAGCTTCTCATGCCAAGGAGTGCTTTGGAGGTGGTCTCGATGACAGAAGAGTGGATTCAGTGCCATCAATGCATGACCAGGATCAACTGCTTCGATAACGGTGTTAAATACAACCCAGTAATTAAGTAATCACTCTCCACACAGGGAAATCAACGCGCAAACCAGTATCGAAAAGTTCTTTCTAGCTGAACTTGTGTTTCCCTGCTGCTTCTGCTATACTGCTGGGAGAACCAAAAGTTTTCAACCTGCCATCCCTCGAATATTCAATACCGCATATAGACGCTTTCCCTTATACTTTTCCCTTAGCCAGTCTTCCTCCCTCTCTCGACTCCCACCAACTTTCGGCTCTACTGTCCAGTTTCTGGGGTGGATCAGGTAGAACAGACACCATAACTCTACGAAGAGAGTGGGATCAGATGGTGGGGAGAGGCGCACGGAGACCGGGTAGCACCCCCTCCCTCAAAGAATTCTCCACTTTTCCATGAAGCGTCCTGTATCTCACTCCACTTTCTTCCACATTTTCACCAGACTTCCAGAGACAGAACAGTATCAGCGATCCCCACCAAAATTTCTACCCCCCACGGCACTCCATAGCTGTCCCTCCAGGTATTTCACCTCCTTAAATTTGGCAAAACTCACCAACCAGCGAGCTTCTGAATCAATAAAAACATGAGTGAGCCTTGTCACACGTGAACACAATATTCATCAAATCAAGCATAACCACACCTGCTTTCGAAGATAACTAGTACGCTAATTACAACCATTCCTGAGGGAGCCACCAAATCCCAGGGCACCTCCCGGGTGTTTTCACACGCTGAAAGACGCTAAAAAAAAACAGGGGGGAAAAAACTCTGCTAACACCTGCTACTACTATTTGAGGCCAAATAGCGTGTGTGTGAGGGAATCTGAGAAGGCCAAGAATGCGCTTAACCATAACGTCCTGCGCCAGGAAGAGGAATAAAAAAAAAAAAAAAAAAAGAAAAAGAGACATTGAAATTTTGCGAGGCATTCAAACAACGAAATTTTAAAAAGTGAGCATGCATGTCTAACGCGGATCACAGTATATTAGTAATATAAGGCTAGGACTCGAAATGTAAAATTATCACCATATAAAAGGTGTTTTAATACACAACCGATTCATTAAATTTGACAGGGAAACAGAAGTAGACAACAGAAAACAGTATTTGCGAACACACTTACCACCCCCGAAGCAAACGGGGAGAGAGACGGCCCATTCCCAGCAGAACCGTTATCTGCTGCGGCGCCGGGCGGCGGCGGGAAGTTGGGGCTGAACACCATCAGGTCGCTCTTGCCCGCGCCGTCCGCCACGCACAGGCTCCGGCTCTGGCGCTGCGAGTACGACCAGCTCCCCACTTCGCTGGCGCACACCCG